GTGGGGGGGGGGCGGGGGGGGGGCGTACTCGTTTGTTCAGGATGTGCTGTTGGCAAACAAACCGAGAGGACGAGAACGCAAAAAACAAAACATTTGAAAGGGTGTACCGCAACTAGGAAAGAATAAAACACGACGATATCCGTTGGCCTCGTTCAAGGGACGTCACAACGGGCTTCTCTCCTTCATAAAAAAAAACGCCGAATCAACACCGCAACACAGCTAACTCGGTCTGCTTGTACGAGGGCAGAGCCACTACAAGGCCATACGGCAGACTACGCACATACAGAGAGGAAGAGTTGAGAGCCTCCGGTACCACGGTGCAAGCATCCCTCATCCCTCATCCCTCACCTGTGGAAACCTTCCACAGCCCCCTCCGTCGATCGTACCCGGGGAGTGCCGTTCGCGCAGCCTAAACAAAAGCGATGCGTGCATACAGACGCGTGACGGTCGGGCGGGCAGAGTTGGCAACAAGCACGTTAAGGCAAAGTCCCGAAAATGGCACAACTGGAAAAAATACGGCGCGTCTGCGCGCACACACACGGCCGTACGTCCTCTTTTTCGTTAGGCGGCAACACGCCTCTTAAATAGCACTCCAAAAATGCGAGGTCTACGCACACGCATAGCATTGAGGAGGACCAAACAAATTTTGAGCCACATACCCTTGGCACAAACACACCACAAGCCGCCCTTGCCGGAAATGAATGCATACACCACAGCACTGGATAACCACAACAGGGCTGCTGACTTAGCAAAATAAACCGCGTACAACCCTCTCACACGCAACACCGACGTACCGCTCCGACCACCACCGCTGAAGCTCAGGGCCTCCTCGTCGCGTGAGGAAACCCCGCTGGAGGCGCTAGCACGGCCGTCCGGGATGGCCTCCTGCAAAAGGGGGCGTTTGTCGACACGGGGGGGATGTGTGAGGGAGGGGAGTACCTTGGGTAGGGGCGATGGAGGAAGGTGAAGGAGCAGGACGAATCGAGACTCCGGCCAACGAACTGAGGCACGGAGAGAGCGATCGATCACGACCGTTTCTGGTAAAACTACTCCGTGACTGTGACGGAGCTGCTGCTGTTGCAGCTGCTGGTGCTATTAATGCTGGTGCTGGTGCTGCTGGTGCTGGTGTGGTGCTGCAGATACCTTCACGTGCCTACCAGCTCTACCGCTCAGCTCCTGCTTGGAGAAAGACGCCGCAAAACGACACCAACACAAAACTGCGCAAAACAGATGACACCTCCTTTGACCCTACCACCACAAGAAACACGCACAGGAGAGAAGCAACATCCCGACAGGCTGGTCTTGAGGCATACTGTTGTGTGCTCGAGCCAAGTCGCCATCGTCTGTGACGCACTGCTGTCAAGCGTTGACGACTAACTCACCCTTTCCCACCGGGGCGGGACCGCTTGCTTCTGGATTCGACCTAGGGTAGGCGGCGGCTGCCCGCCCTTCAGCTTGAACCTGTACGCCCCAAAACGGACACACGCATCGCATCGCATCGACACGGGGGGAGGGGGGCCGTTGAAAACGCGCACTGGAGACTATCGCCCCCTTTCGCATTTCGAATCAGAGTTTTGAGGCTCCTCAACCACTCGGCTGCGAGGTTTCTATCAGGCGGTGGCGTCAACCCGTGGGGAGAGGTAATCCGACCCTCCTCGCCGAATACAAGTGGCGTTAGTCCTTGTATGTGGTGCAGCAGAAGCGGTCATGGTTCGACCCGGCTCGCCGCAAGACCACTTCTTGACAGCGGGGATTCTCTTTGGCAGTGGCGTTAGTTCGTGCGTGTATGCGGGCGAAGTACAGTTGCGGCAAAATTTTCACCAACCTCGCCGAAAGCGGGACCCGCTCGACAGACGGTTTTTCATTGGCGGCGGCGTTACTGTTGTCCGTACGCGTGTATATGGGGGTAGAAGTGCTAACTCAACCCACCTCGCCGAAGACACGGCCCACTCCGCCATGTAGAGCGGCAGCCCGGGGGGCTTGCAGTAGATGCAGTGGCTGTTGCGGCAGGCGAAGCTTTCGAACCTGGACGTGTACCGATTGATCGATCGCGTGCGGCAATAGAAGCGAAAAGGGATAGAGAGAGAGAGAGAGAGTGAGAGAGAGGCAGACAGACAGAGACAGAGCGAGAAGGAGAGAGTGACAAAACACGGCGCGATGAATGGCGACAGGGACAACACCATGGAATCCGACCGTGGAATACAAAACCGGAATCCGATGTGTACCAGATGAACGCGTTGCTGGTGTGGAACGGTTCAGCTAGTGTTTCCGGGAAGCAACGCCCGGGAAAGGTAGAAACCGTGGACGTGCTGGAAACATGTTGCTTATACTCATACAAACAACGCGGAAGGACAAGCAACAACCGCCACCACAATCGCCAGAACCACGCGCCCGTGGGCAATGAGTTACTACTTCGATTGAAGTAGAGATTTCGTGTTATATTCCTAAGCTGAGATACTAAAACGGTATCCTTTTTCATTGGCCAACAACCGGCTTGCAGCGCCGTCGGAAGACCAGCCCATGCTCTCGTCTCAACGCGCCCACCTCGTTGTGACCCTCTCTCCCTGCCTCCGGATGTACTCTGCGATGCCCTTGGAACAGTTGCAGCTCCTCGTGTACTGGCTGCACCCCTTGCACCGCCACGGACACTCGAGTTCGTCCGTGAAGAAAGAATGGGCCGTACGGTTGAGGGGGTGGCAACGGCTCCTGTCAAGCACGAAACAGCAGCAGCAGCAGCAGCAGCAGCAGCAGCAGCAGCAGCAGCAGCAGCGGCAGCGGCAGCGGCAACGGCGGCGGCGGCAACCGCATAGACAACATGTACACGCATTGATTAGAATGAGTCCTCGCGTTTGCTATCCCGCAATCGTGACACATACTCATTGGTCAGCCGGTTGGTGCGGCCGATGCAAGCTCAATAAGCGGACCGACAAACAGAGCACACACACGCGTGAAGGGCAGGCCCCAACACGGGGGACGAGGTACACGAAGGACAGCAGCGGAGTACGTTCCGTGGGAGAATATCGCGGTTTGGACAGCCTGGACTCGGGGTTGCTGCGGCTCGTTTTGGCGAGATTCACCAACCTTGACCAACATGCCGAGAGGTGCAAGGACCCAACAAGGCAACCGTCGTCGACACGGATTGCCGATCTACACCAACATGAAATTCTTCTACTGTGATCTGTCAAGCAGGCAGAAAATTCGCCCCGCGTGAACGCGCCGCGTGCAACCGTAGGAGAACATTATTGCTTCAAACAAAACCAAACGGAAATGCTCCCTCTTGGTTCTCCCTCTCCACCGTCACGGAGACACCATCTCAAGCACGCCTCACCGCACAATCGCCCCTCCCCAAGAGCGAGCAGACAGCTCTCTCTCTAAGACGAACGCTTATCAAAAACGTGACGTAGACAGCAAGGTACTTGATCCTGACCCCGACTATTTTTCCCAAGCTTCTCTGTCTCTAGAAAAAATCAACAAAACACCTCCACCAAAAATCCGTCGTTTCACCTCGGGCTAGCCGAATCGGCACCAGACCCCGCGCGCCCCCCATCCCGTCCGCGCGCACCCGGGTACCACCCCGCCCTCGCGCTCGCCGCGGGGGACCAAGGCCTCGTCGCCCTCCTAGTCCACCGATTGCCCCGCTTGGGGGCCCCGCCGGTCCTCGCCCTGGGGGAGGGGGAGGGGGAGGGGGAGGGGACCCCGGCGGCGACGTCGACATCTTCCGCGTCTGGCGGTTCTGTTGGCCACCTGCTACCACCACCCCTTCCCGCAGACACGGGGCCCCCGTGTCCGCGGCCTCCGGCGGCGGGGGCGGCGGGGGAGGGGGACGACGACGGACCTCGGCCGCCGGGCGTGGTGGACGCGGCGGTCAACTTCTTGTTTTCTTCGGCAGCTTGAAGGGCGGACAGCTGTATTCGCCGGCATAGCGCCGTCGTTGTTTTTCGCCATTTTCGGGGATAAGAAGAAAGCGAGCCGGGAGAGAAGGAGACGGGAACAGGTTAACGTCCTCGAGCAAGCAAGCAACGTGGGGCATATTACTGCTCGGGGTCCCGCGTGGGCACACAGGGGCAGGAAAGGTTGGGAACCGATCTGTGGCTCAGGGAACAAGAAGGACAGCGCCGCCATTGAATACCGGTGACAGAACAAGACATGACGAATCCTGGACAGATTTGCAAAAGCTCGATACCTCCACAGCAGAAGGAGCGACGGTGACGACAGTGCTGGCGTTGGAAGCATTGCCGAGAGAGAGAGAGAAAGAGAGAGAGAGCTTTCCGAAAACGTTGCATCAATTGATGCGCACATCCTCTTCGACGTCGTGGAGTATGTAGTCGAGCTTTGGCAATCGGTCCGGGGGGGTGATATCATTCGTCATACGCCACCTAAGTGTATCACGATGAACATACTGCTTTAGCCCCACATGCCCTGTAAGTCCATTCGCACAACAAATAGCGGCGAAATCAAGCCGTCCGATACACAGCAGTAGTCGCTCTCACGTACACCATACTTCGCCCCGCACCTGACGAGCCCACATAACTCCCGCGGAGAAATCAATGAGCCATTCCCCCGCCTCCGCCCCTAGACCTTCATCCCCAGACGGCATCGGGAAAATGTCCGACTCCTGCAGCAGGCCCAAAAAAAAACATAACAACATTCCAAACCGTATGTGTAGAGCAGATCAAGAGCGGTCGAAACATGCTGATCGCAAACACCACAAACGTGAAAGAAATGACGGTTTCGTAGCTAGCTCCGAGCGCAGCCCAATGTGTGAAGGGTTGAAGAGATATCGGGGGTGGACGCACGCATGACGGTGAGAGGCGCTTCGCAAACGACGAATCGTACCTATTCTCTATCTGAGTGGGTAACACCCCACGGCGTGACAACAAACAAACAAGAACGCACGAGCTAGGGTCTTCCGTGCAAGCGCGCGCGGTTCAGTCGAGGAATGTATTTTTCTACTTCATTCAATTCATTGGACTGCTACCAAAGCAGTGCTACTGTAAATAGTGTGAAGTTTCTCAGCGTCATGACTGCAGATCCTGGTCTGCATCCCCAACTCAAACACACACATATACCGACAAGGTTTGCTTACACGTATGATAGGCTTGTTTGTATCGTCGACCTGTGGCCGGACATCGGGGTATCTCTTCCCGGCCGGGGTAATCAAAGCCGACGAAGCGCCCCCTCGCCCCCCCCCCCCCCCCCCCGCCCCCGCCCCCTTATCGGAGGAGACAGCAGGAAGGGCAGAGAGGAAAGCCCTCCCGTGCAAACGCTGGTAGTAGCAGCGGCACAAGGGAGGGCTTAAGGCGAACGGGGGAATCGCTATGCGTTGTTGCTCTCGCGCGCGTGTCGTTCCTCGACGGGCGTGGGGCTCTCGCCCGCCAAGGGGCTAAAAGCGGCTCACAGACAATTTCTTTATTACAAAAGAAGAACAAATGGAGGGCAGGAGTGCTGAAAAAGGTCATTCCAAGGGGCTAAAAGCGGCTCACAGACAAGTGGTGATTCGACAACATAAGGCAGGGATAGAGCAGATAAAAAAGGTATCCCGACAGAGATGAGAAGCGTGGGCCTCGCCGGCCAAGGGGCTAAAGCGGCTCAGGAAAAATATCCTCTTGCCTGGCCGGGGGCACCGCAGCATCCTTTGAGAACGCCCCAGGGGGTGAAAAAATCACCGCCACGTGAAAAAACATCACCAGCGGCTGCGGGCGTTCTCAGACATCATGCCGCCTGCTGCGGCACTTGCCGAGCCCTAAGCAAAGCGGTGATGGCCCCGCTACCTCGCTACGCATCCCGCCTCCTTACCACACTTACCGATACCCAGGCGAAGTAGTGATGTCCCCCCTCGCATAGGAACACCAGCAGGGCGCGAAGCGCACGGTGTGCCTACGGAATGGTTCGGTCCAAGGAAAAAACCACAAGACATCACGAAAGCAACCATGCGTTCGTTTCGCGGACGCTGAGAATCAGAGTGCGGACAGGATAGCGCATGCCATGGAATAATGCCTAAACGAGCGCCGCTGCTTCCGCAAGAACCCCAAGTTCAAGACCATACAAAAACCACAGCACCGCGAAGCTTTCCAGCAAACTGAGCCCGACGATCATTCATTGATTATGAAAATATTTTCTGAAAATTCGACGAGATTTCACCCTGCACGGCAACACGCCTCTCTCGCCAGCAACGCTCCGACCCACCTGCGCCTCCGCGTTCAAGTCCGAGTGCGCGAAGCTCTCCTCCACCTCATCCCTGTCGCAGAGCCTGGCCGGCCAAAGGTTTCCCCCGCGGTTTGGGTTCTTGGCCAGCACGATCGACGGCCGCAGCAGGCCCCCGGAGTCCCCCTCCGCCTCGCCGCCGCCCTCCTGTTCCTCCCCTTCTCCCGCGGGGGAGGGGGTGGCAACGGGGGCGGCGGCAGCAGCATCCCGGCCGGTTTTGTCGGTGAGGGAAATCGCGGAGCGCCCGCTGCCGCTGCAGCTGCCTCCGGAAACCGTTATCGCGAGCCGGCTGGTCGCAGCCTTCGGGGGTGGCGGGATCTGCTGCTGCTGCTCCTGCTGCTGCGGGAACCCCGTTGCCGTCGCCGCCGCCGCCGCCGCCGCCGCCGCCCCTCCTGCCGGAGCGGGGGCCGAGCCCCCGGGAGAAGAGACGGGGAGAAAGGACGAGCCCCCCCGCCCGCTGCTGCCGCTGCTGGCGCCTCCGCTGCCCGCCAAGGAGACTGCGGTGCGCGAGGTGAAGACTGTCGTTCCCGCCGCGCGGCGCTGGCGGTAGGCGACTGCAGGGGTGAAAACACACACACGGTTGAAGCCAAGGCTTGTTTTCGATCGCGCCCGCAACGACAATAGCATGCGAACAGACACAGACACCGTGAATCGGCATGCAGATGCCACCGCTTCGAACTTGAAGCCAACGTTTGGGAGATCGCACGAGCACTTGAGGCCCTTTCACGGACGAAGATGTTCACTGGTAGGAGTACATATTTTGACAGTTGGGTCTATACCGTAGGTTGCACAAGATATCACACGTTTGTCGAAGCTCGACATCTCGGCAGGAAAACCAGTGACGGTGCCGAATATGGCGTTAGGCGTTGGAGCCTTGTCGTCGAGAAATAGCTTTCCGAAAACGCATGCTTAAACTTCGGCATCCTCTTCGTCGTGGAGTAATCGAGCTTCGAAAATCGGTACATGCAGGCGTGAACGGGGGGGCGTACTCTCAATATTTTCCATGCCGTAGTTGCTAGATCATTGGCCATGCTTCCTTGAGTAGACGGAGCAGTGTTCCTACAGGACCGATCACCGATGGCCAACCGTTCCTTCCTACTTTGCCAAAGGTGGCTCAACACCTACCCTATCGACATCACTTCCCGCCGTTTCAGCCCGGCCCGGGGGGTGTGAGAGGGGGCAAAAATTTGGACGAAAGCAACGGAGGGCGGGATGCGCACTGCTCCGTCCCCGATAACGACACCTGACGTGGACGCTTTCGTGCATTCGAGGCAACGCCAGCACTGGAGCGAGCTCGCCAGGTTTCTCCATCAGGTGGAGGGCTTGGGTTTAGGTAGGGATTTGATACTGAGACGGACGACGGTATTCATATGGGAGGGAGGGCGTCCACCGACAACGACCACAACCGGAAACAAGCACAACTCTTGGCGAGGTGAAGCAACTCGATTGATGCTTGGATTTAGCCGCCTTCGACTGGGATTATGTCTCGACCGGGTGTCGTTTCTATTGTTGATTGGATGAACATTTTCTAGAAAGAGCGTGCACTCACTCGCACGCCCAGGCACAGAACCCAAGCACTCCATCCAAGCGCGCGCCCTCCTAAAGGTGGCATTCACCTCCCCGCGACCCCGCTCCCCCGGCAACCATACGACGACAACGCCTCCTTTAGTCCAAACCCACCCACCTCTCTCCTTGCCCGCCGCGCTCTTCTTGGCGGCTGGCCCCCTACCGGCCCCTTCCTCTGCTGCTCCCCCCCCCAAGCCATCCCCATCATGATCCTGCGTCACCCCCTCCTCCTGTTTGACCGGCCGACGGCCCCTCTTGGCGCTGCCGCTACCGCCGCTACCGCCGCTGCCGCTGTTGCTGCTGCCACCCACGCCTCCGCTGTCTCCGCCCACCCTGCTCTGCATCGTAGACGCACGGGCCGGCCGCGAGCTGCCGCCGGCTGTCCCTTCCCCTATCTCTTCTGACAGCGGCGACCAGCTCGACCCGCCACCATTGCCACGACCGCCGCCGCCGCCGCCGCTGCCGCGTGGCCTCCCGCGGGCGGCGGGGGCGACGACGGGGGCGCGGGGGACCGCGTCACGACGGACAGCCAGCTTGGCAGCGGTGCAGTACCTGCGCCAACCCTGATGTTGTTTGGGAGCATCAAAGTACAATGTCGTTGACTATATGGTGAGCAGGCGGGGCGGCGTTCTCAAAGGATGCTGTGGGCGGCTAGCTGGGCGATCTCAAGATAGGGTGGTAGCTAGCTGGGGAGCTAGCTGGTGGGCCGAGGAAACAGGTGGCGGGGGCTGCCTCTTGACGGACGTCAAAGCTCAGCGTTCGCACAGAGCACAGAGTATCTTCTTGGGAAACTGTAACTCAGGCAATGGGCCGAAGGAAGCTAGCCATCGATGGCCCGAAGCAAAATGATCCGTAGCACTGACAACAACCCATTAATATTACATCAACAACTGAAAGTAGTGTGTTGAAGCATCGTGGTATAATCCCAAGTCCGCTCTCGGGGCCGCACGCATGCTGCGCGTCTACGGTTCCTGCTAGTCTAAACTGCGAGAGCACACCCCGCTTTGGCAACAGCCAAAGCATTGGTAGCAATCAGATCCTTCTAGCGACTGGGGCAACAGACCTACTGCGAGTCCCGGGCCGTTGAGCAGAAAACATCCGCTAAATATATTCGCTGTGAACTTACCCAGGACTCTTACGATCTGTGGAAGAGATGAATTCGTTTGTGTAATTGAAAGCAAACAAACACAAGTAAATACAAAGAGTATTACTCCAAAACCTTACGTGTCCAAGTCCCTTGTAAAGGTTCTGCCCCTTGTGACCAGCCTTCATCTTCTGGATAATCTCCTCGAGCACCTCTTGATCAAGCCCCCCCCCTGCGCCCCCCCCCTGCGCCCCGCTCTCCTCCGATTCTACATCGTCACCCTTTCCCTCTTCCTCTTCGTCGACGTCCATACCCTCGTCCGCGCCCTCTCCCTCCACGGCCCCCTTATCGATATCCTCTTCCTCCTCGAGGTCCATTCCGTCCGCGGACGACGACCCGCGTTCTTCCCCCGGGGATGCTTCGCCATCATCCCCTGGGGACGCTTCGCCATCATCCCCTAGGGACGCTTCGCCATCGTCCCCTGGGGATGCTTCGACATCATCCCCTGACGCCTCCTGAGAAAACCCATCGTCTCCCTCCCCTCCCTCTTCGGCAGATTGTTGGCCGGCGACAAATCCAGCTCCTTCCCCGCTGCCGCTACCGCTACCGCTACCGCTACCGCTCTCGACGTCGTCGATGTCGTCAACGCGCTCGTCGCTATTGCCACTGCTGATTAGGCTGCTGCTGTTACTGCTCCTGTTCTCGCCGCCTTCGCCTTCGTCGCTGCCGTCGCTTTCCCCTTCCCCACCTTCTTCTCTTTGTGGCTCTCGATCTCCGCTGTTGCTGCTGTCGGAGTCTTCGGAGGAGCCCCTGTACCTGTAAAAACAATACAAAACAATAGGTCCGGGTGGGGGGAGACGTGAATACGCCGTTTAGCAGAGCGTCATCCTTTGCTTCCGCTTACGACAGATGGAGAAGAAAAGCTGTTTTCCGAAAAGAAAACAACACTCACACGACTGCTCGCTGCCGACGCTAGCCGGCTCTACGGGCAAAAAGCCGCCTGGCGGGAGACGAAGATCTCGTCCAACTTCGGGGTAATGAATGGGATGCATACCAAAAAACGAAAACCCCATAATGCCGACACCCACCAACAGCTCTCGGTAAAAAAGCACGAGACGGTAAAAAAAAAAAAATCCCGACGGCGGGCACACACGCACTTCGGAACATTTAGCTACCATTTTCCTTTACGGTTGCACACAGGAGCCCACGACAACCAGCACCGCATTTCGGAACAGCAACTTTGACTCACCGACTGCCTCGTCCAGCGCCTCTGCCCCCCGGGCCTCTCCCCCTCCCCCT